TAAATATTTAAAAAAGAGAGCATATAGTGAGCATTGGTCTTGTGGAAAGTCAAACCCAATATTTAATTATGGAAAATAAGGAAATTGCAGATGAATTAAACAAGTATTTAGCAACAGTTTGCACTATAGAGGATATGAGTAACAACCCAAAAGTTAATTAGGAATTAGAAGGGAGGAACTCAGAAAAATCACAATCACCCGAGCAGTGGTGCTGTTTGAATTGTTGGAACTGCAAGCAGACAAGTGCCTGGAATCCTAATGAATCTCTTCCTACAGTTTAAAAGGAAGTGAACAATGAGCTAGTTGATACATTGATTTTGTGAAGATACTATGACTTTAAGAGATGTATTTTGTTCTTTTTTTAAGAAGAAAGGTTGAGACAGAGGTGTGAAGCAGTCTGCTCAAAGTCAATAAAGTAAATAGCTTGTAAGGCCTTGGGTTTTTTAAAAGTTGGAACAATGAAAGCATACTGAATGGGTGAGGTCAGGCTCCCAAAGAAGCAGGGTTTTTAGTTTGAGCTTTCTGCACTTGCTGGGATGTTGAAGCTGGATGTGGAAGCTCTTATTCCTCTCTCAGTTACAGCTAAAAGCTAGGGTTCTCTTCTAGCTGCTAAAATTGCATGTGAGACAATCTATTTTACTGAATTTACCTTTGCCAAGAGTGTGTTTATGGGATGTTATTATATTGAAACAGTTGATTAGTTTCACCTAATATATCTATATATTATTTTATTAAGCATTTCATTAGAGTTACACTTAAGCCAATTCTTTTATTTTTATTTTGCCTGTATTTTAATTGTAGTGTAAAAATAAAGTGTGTTTTGCTTAAAGTGGAGTAGTTTGACCAATTGAATTGCATCTGGAACGCAATGCCTTACACTTACCTTTAAAATGAGAAAAAAGTTAGGGTCTAGGCTGTCTTAATATATTTAAGATATTGGCAAAGATCTATAGCTTGGGTTGTGGATGAGGTTGTTGACTTGCTCACCGAGCTGGCTTGTTTTTACTCAGACATTTTGTCACCATGCTAGGTGACATCATCAGTGGAGCCTCTGATGAAGCAATGTTATTCTACTCCATTTGGAATTTATACTGTCTGGTCCGTTATGGTGAGTATTGTCATTTCCGATTTTAATCTGTATGGCCTTATATATGGGGTCCAATTCTATATGTTTGTTGATGGAAGTATGGGTGGAGAACCATGCCTCTAGGAATTCCTGTGCGTGTCTATGTTTGGCTTGGGCTACTATGGTTACTTTGTCCCAGTTAAACTGATGGCCTTCATTGTCTGAGTGTACAGATATTAAGGAGAGTTCATTGTGCCATTTTGCTGCTAGCTGATGTTCGTGTGTTCTGAGAAATTGTGTATTGTGGGAATGGGGTCTTTAATCCTTGTAAGTGTTTGTCATAGAGTGGCTGTGGGCTTGTGGGTCATGATTCCTAGTGGTCTTAGGAGTCTCGTTGTCAGTTCCGATAAGTTCCTGAAGTAGGGAAGTGTCAACATACAACAACAGGAGGATAGAGTGCAACCTAACACACTTACCATACGTACCTACATCAGGAACATATTGGAACTGACAACAAGACTCCTAAGACCACTAAGAATCATGGTGGCCCGCAAGCCCACTTACAAGGATTAAAGAACCCATTCCCACAACATGCAGAACAAACGTGGTTTACAAAATACCATGCAACGACCGCCGCAAACATTACATCAGACAGACAGGAAGGAAACTAGCCATCAGAATAGACACGCACAGGAATTCCTAGAGGCATGGTTCTCCACCCATATTTCAATCAACAAACATATAGATTTGGACCCCATACATTAACCCATACAGATCAAAATCGCAAATGACAGTACTCGCAAATCGGACCAGGCAATATAAATTCCAAGCAGAGTAGAATAACACCGCTTCATCGGAGGCTCCATTGATGCTGTCACCTAGCATGGTGATGAAATGTCTGAACAAAAACAAGCCAGCTCAGCAAGCAAGTCAATAACCTTGTCTTAATTTCTTTTGAGGGGTTTTGGTCTGGTCCATAACAAATTTGGGTGCTCTTGTCAGGATCAAAATCTCGAATTCCAGGTTGGTTTAGGATTATTGGGCTCAAAGGCGATTGCGGACGATACGAAGGTGGGTCGAGTAATGGAGAGTGCAGAGGGCCGTTCTAGGTTACAAAGGGACATTGATAGGATGCAGAGCTAGGCTGAGAAGTGGCAGATGGAGTTTAACCCTGAAAAGTGTGAGGTGATTCATTTTGGAAGGATAAACTTGAAAGCAGAATACAGGGTTAACGGAAAGATTTTTGGCAGTGTGGAGGAGCAGAGGGATCTTGGGGTTCATGTCCACAGTTCCCTGAAAGCTGCCACCCAGGTGGATAGAATTGTTAGGAAGGCATATGGTGTGTTAGCTTTCATTTATAGAGGGATTGAGTTCAAGAGCCGTGAAGTTATGCTCCAGCTACACAAAAGCCTGGTTCGGCCACATCTGGAGTATTGTGTCCAGTTCTGGTCACCTCATTACAGGAAAGATGTGGAAGCATTGGAAAAGGTGCAGAGGAGATTTACCAGGATGTTGCCTGGAATGGAGGGAAGGTCTTACAAGGAAAGGTTGAGAGAGCTAGGGCTTTTCTCTTTAAAATGACGAAGGATGAGAGGTGACTTGATAGAGGTGTACAAAATGATCAGAGGTATAGATAGAGTGGACAGCCAGAGACTTCTTCCTAGGGTGGAGGTAGCTATTACGAGGGGGCATAGTTTTAAAGTGAGTGGAGGTAGATACAGGGGAGATGTCAGAGGTAGATTCTTTACTCAGAGAGTAGTAGGTGCGTGGAATGCATTGCCAGAGAGGGTAGTGGAGTTGGCCTCATTAGGGGCATTTAGGCGGCTATTAGATAGGCATATGGATGATAGTATAAAGTAGGGGTGGAGGTTAGATAGACCTTAGGATTAGGGTAAAGTTTCGGCACAACATCGTGGGCCGAAGGGCCTGTACTGTGCTGTACTGTTCTATGCTCTATGTTCTATGTTCTAAAGGCAGTGAACAGTGAGAGTTGGTGCTTTTAATTCTAGGTGTTGCATTCGGTAATTTAAATAGGTTGTGTCTTGAGTAGTAATGGCACTTTCAGTCACTAAGAGTTTCCTGGGAATGGCAGAATTCTCTTCAGGAATTTGTAGAAAGCGAGCAAAGCAAAGCTTTTGGAATTGGCAGAACAAGCTGGATTTGGGAACAAAAACAGAAATTGCTGGAAATGCTCAACAGGTCTGGCAATATCTATGGAGATAAATCAGAGTTAACATTTTGGATTGAGTGACCTTTCTACAGAATAGTGTTTTGTTTATGATTTATAGCATCCACAGTTCTTTTGGTTTTTACTAAGCTGGAGTTGTGTTACCTTTGTCCCTGTGAAAAGGGGAAGTAATTGCAGCAATAGCTCAACTTTTACGATTGCTGGAAATACCATCGAAATCTGTGGAAATGGCTAATATTCAATTGCTAATGAAACAACTTGAACATGAAAAGTAAATGAAACAGTTTGAATTATGATTGAAAGCAGAAGAAAAGCAGAAAGAGACAATAGCTCTAGCAGTGGAAAAAGGAAAGGAAAGACTAGCCCAAGCAGAACAAAAAGAATAGTATAGGATGTCCCTAGCAGAAGAAAGAGAGAAAGAATGGGAGAAAGAAAGAGTTTTTGAACTTTGGAGGTTGGAACTGAAAACTCAAAGTTGACATCAAATGGTAGAGGGACTAATGAAAGGTAGGAGTAGTGATGAGGACAGTGATGGAGGGCAATCCCATTGTAGCCAAAGGTCTGATGGGGATCTGTTTAAATATGTCCAAACGTCGCCTAAGTTTGACAAGAAGGATATAGAAGATTTATTCATTTCATTTGAGAAAGTGGCTATACAAATGAAATGGCTCGTGACCATGTGGGTATTGTTGATCCAAATGAAGTTGGTAGGTAGAACTAGTGAAGCTACTGTTTGTCATGTATTCCCTAGTTTGCCCTGTCCAAGTGCATCACCTCACACTTATCTGGATTGAATTCCATTTGCCACTGATCAGCCCATCTGACCAGTCTCTCTTTATTGTCCTGTAATCTAAGGCTGTGCTTCACACTATTTACCACCCAAAACAGACACCTGGAAAGGTGGCAGAAGCTGAGTCATTGAACATTTTTAAACAAAGTTATATAGATTCTTCTGAAGCAAGGAGTGAAACGTTATCAGTAATAGACAAGAATGCAGTTTTGTGGCAGTAATCAAATCATCCTTGATCTCATTGAATGGTGGAGCAGGAGCAAGGGGCTGAATGGCCTACTCCTGATTCATATATTATGAAGTCACTGAATGTTTCTATTATTCTGGATCATAGTACTAAAGAAAAGTGATTAACCATTTTGATAATTTACACTAACAGTGTGATTGTGAGGCTAGTGTATTAGCACAGTAACAATTAGAATAAAATTCAAAGACATAAGGAAGAACTTCTCACATGGATTTGTTAGTGTTTAGAATCCTTATTCAATATTGATTGACAAGTGAAATAACTCCACAGAGGCCAGTGTCCTGCCGCTCTTTATTTGTACATGAACAGTCCTTGACTTTAGTACTGCCCCATTCAGAGTCAGCTGTCAGAATGTCAGTATCTCTGAGACTCCCCATTTTATTTGTCAGCCAGGCCTCCCTGATTGGACCAGATTAATATCTCCAGTCAGGGAACTCATATCCAATCACTACAACAAGAAAATCACAAGTTAAGGGGGACAGGCAAGAAAGTGACATTATGGTCACAATCATATTGGCAACGATCTTATTGAATGATGGAGCAGGCGCAATAATTTCCTCCTCTCCTGTCTCTAATGATCTTATTTATTTGTTGTACATAGCATGATTTGGAAAGTAAACCAGGTGTAAATGAAACAAATTTTAATTTGGTGGTTTTGAAGCCTTCATAATATTTTATATTCAAAGTCTATGTTTCCTTTTTTGTTTAGATTGAGTCTATTCTAAGACAAGGAGTCACGTTATTGAATTGGTCTTCTCTAACACTTGACCAGTTCTTTGCTGATGCGAACGCAGCTATTAATGAGTTGATTACATTGTTAAAGACAGTAAGTAGATGACTTAAAAACTGTAAGTGAATTTATTAAGCTGAAGGATGACAGTTGTGAGAAACAAGAGTGTTTAATTTTACTTTGGCATCGAGTGATAACAGGTTCTAAATGGCAATGGGCTGTAATGAAATATAGTTTGTAATTGGAAAATGTATATAAAGTGATAAATGTATGAAAGAAAAGACATAGTATCCTAAAATAATAGAATGGTTAGAGAAGGAGGATATTTAGACCATGTTCCAGAGCCCATATTTTCCTCATAGCTGTGTGAATTTTACCTCTTCAGATGTTTATTCAATTCCCTTTGAAAGCAACAACTAAATCTGTTTCCACCACGTTGTCAGGCAGTGCCAACCATATGCTGCATCAAAACAATTTTCCTCAAACCACCAAGGAGAGCAGCTCCAGTTTCTCAAGCTTTTTAACAGAACTGAAGTTCGTAATTCCCAGAAACGTTCTCGTGTATCTTTATTGCTTCTTCTATGCTTTCACATTGGTTTCCAAATTAGTTAGGTCAAGACCAAAGGTATGGTTCGACCAGCACTAGGCATGTAGTATGAAACATCAGGCATAACCACATGGCTATCAAAAAAATTGTACATTGTTATTGTGCTGCCTGTAGATTCTGCTATTGATGAAGATATCAGTACACAGAATCCAGAAAGCAATTTCTATCTAGAGCCAATTTCATAATACTGTCTGAGAAGAAGCATCACACTCAGCTGAGACCTAAAATAAAACTCTACCAGGCCTTTTACCTTACCACCTGGCTGCATAGTGCAGAATCTTGAGTATGCTACAGGAACTATACCAAAGCTTTGAAAACTTTCACAAAAGGCAACTGAGGTTTATGACACAGAGAGTGGTAAGTGCCTGGAATGCACTCCCAGAGGAGGTGGTGAAGGCGGAAAAAAAAGCAACGTTTAAGAGGCATCTTGACAGCCACTTGAATGTGCAGGGAATACAGGGATACGGACAGCGTAGAGGCATAAGATTTTTAATTCAGGAAGGCATCAGGTGTCGGTACAGGCTTGGTGGGCTGAAGAGCTTGTTCCTGTACTGTACTGTTCATTATTCTGTTCTTTGTTCCTGTGCCCACTCAATTAACCCGTCTATATTCATCTGCAGAGTCTTTGTGTCATCCTCACCAATTGCCTTCCCGTGCAACATAATTATAGTACATTCACTTTCCTCATCCGGATCATTAATATATATAGTAAATAATTGTGTCATTACTACTGACCCTTTGGCACTCCACTAGTTTCAAATTGCATCCTAAAAAGACCCTCTTATCATAACTCTCTGTCTCCAAGAGAGTTTTTCAGTCATCGGTCCAAAATAACATATCTCCAGCATGATGGTGCTGGGCTGTTAGCCTTTTAAATAGTCCAATGTGTGGTACCTTATCAAATGCCTCCTGGAAATCCAAATATATTGCATCTACTGCTTCTTTTTTTTATCTATCCTGTTTATTATCCCCTCAAAGAATTCTCACAAATTTGTCAAGCATGATTTTCTCTTTGTGAAGCCATGCTGACTCTGCTTGATTGTTTCATTTATTTCTAAATATTCTGCTATTACATCCTTTATAATAGACAATAACATTTTGTCAATAACATACATGATTTAACTGGCCAATATTTAACTTTTTTGTTTCCTCTCCTTTTTAAATAAAGGTGTTACATTGGCAGTTTTATAGTCCTCTGGAACTTTTCCAGGGTGTAAGGATTCTTGAAAGATTACTATCAGTGCATCCAATATCCCTGTAGCTGCTTCCTTTAATATCTGAGGATGCATCCCACCAGGTCCAGAGGACTTATCGGTCTTTAGTCTCATTAGTTTTTCTAGTACTTTTTCTCCAATGATTGCAACTGCATTTATTTCCTCTCCTCTTTTTTTCTTCTTGATTATTCAATATTTTTGGAATGCAATGAGTGTTGTCTACTGTGAAGAATAATACAAAGTTTTGATTGAATTCCTCTGTCAGTTATAGAGTCATAGAGTCATAAAACGTGGACACAGACCCTCTGTGTGGAAAAAGCTGCCCCTCTTGTCTTTAAAGTTTTTGACCTCTCACCTGAAAAGAATGCCCCCTAGTTTTGAACTCACCCACCCTAGGGAAAAGACTTTTGCTATTCACCTTATCATACCCCTCATGATTTATAAGCCTCTGTAAGGGGACTCCTCAACCTACTATGCTCCAGCCTATTCTTATAATTCAGTCCTTCCAGTCCTGGCAACATCTTGGTAAATCTTTTCTGAACCCTCTCCAATTTAATAATATATTTCCTATAGCAGGGCGACCAGAATTGTACACAGTACTCCAAAAGTGGCCTCACCAACATTCTGTACAACCTCAACATGATGTCCCAACTCTGATAGTCAATGGTCTGAACAATGAAGGCAAACATGTTAAACACCTTCTTAACCACCCTGTGATGCAATTTCCAAAGTACTGTGCAACTGAACCCCTAGGTCTCTCTGTTCGACAACGCTACCCAGGGCCCTACCATTAACTGTATAAGTCTTGCCCTTGTTTGTTTTACCAAAATGTAATACCTCACATTTATTCAAATTAAACTCCATCTGCCACTCCTTAGTCCATTGGCCCAATTGATCAAGATCTCTTTGTAATCTTAGATAACTTTCTTCAATGTCCACTATACCACTAATTTTGGTGTCATCCACAAACTTATTAACCATGCCTCCTAAATTCTCATCCAAATCGTTTATACAAATTATTGGTGGACCTAGCACTGATCCTTGCGGAACATCACTGTCATAGGCCTCCAGTCCAAAAAAACAACCCTCCGCTACACCCTCTGTCTCCTACCATAAACCCAATTAAGGGTCCCGACCCAAACTGTCAACTTTCCTGCTGCTCTGATGCTGCCTGACCTGCTGCGTTCCTCCAGCTCCTTACTGTGTTGTATTTGTATCCAACTGGCAAGGTCTCTCCAAATCCCACATGATCTAACTTTACTAATTAGTCTACCATGTGGAACTTTGTCAAAGGCTTTACAATTCATAGATCATGGAAGCCCTACAGCGTGGAAGCAGGCCATTCAGTCCATCAAGTCCACACATGGCCCTCTGAAAAGTATCCCACTCAGACCCAGCCTCCTACACTATCCCTATAATCCTGCATTTCCCATGAGTAATCTGTCTAGCCTGCACATCCCTAGACACAATGGGCAATTTAGCATGGCCAATCCACTTAACCTGCACATCTTTGGACTGTGGGAGGAAATCCCAGAGCAAACTCACGCAGACACGGGGAATAAAGTGCAAACTCCACACAGATAGTCACCCAAGGGTGGAATTGCTAACCACTGAATCACTGTGCCATGTTCACAGAGTCCAATGTATACAACGTCTACTGCTCTGCCCCATCAATCTTTTTGGTTACATCCTCAAAAAAACTAAATCATATTTGTGAGACATGATTTCCTATGCACAAAGCCATGCTGACTATCCCTAATCAGTCCTTGCCTCTCCAAATGTATGTAAATCCTATCTCTCAGAATCCTCTCCAACAACTTACCACCCCTGTTGTCAAACTCATGGGTCTATAATTTCCAGGTTCTCCTTATAACCTGTCTTAAATAAAGGCACATTAGCCATTCTCCAGTCCTCCAGCACTGACCAAGGCTGCAGATGATACAAATATCTCTGCTAGGGGCTCCACAATTTCTTCCCTAGCTTCCCACAATGTCCTGGGGTACACTTGATCAGGCCCAGAGATTTATCCAGTTTTATGTTTTTTAATACCTCCTTTTCTGTAATGTGGACTGTCTTCAAGATATCAATACTTATTTCCCCTAGTTCCCTTGACTCCATATCTTTCTTCACATAAATACTGACGTGAAATATCAGTTCAGTATCTTCCCCACTTCATGCGGTTACACACATAGATGACCTCGTTTATCTTTAAAGGAACCTATTCTCTCCCTAGTTGGTCTTTTGCCCTTAATGTACTTACAGAATCTCTTTGAATCTCTTATTTGCCAAGGCTATCTCATATCCCCTTTTTGCCTTCCTGATTTTCCTCTTAACAATGCCCTTACACCCTTTATACTCTTCAAGAGACTCACTTGATCCCATTTAATATATGACGCCTTCTTATTCTTGACCAGAGCCTGAATATCTTTATTCATCCATTGTTCCCTACGTTTCACTGACAGGAACATAATGCCTCTGAGCTCGTGTGATCTCACTTTTGAAAGCCTCCCACTTGCTAGTTGTCCCCTTACCTGTGAACAGTCTCCTCCAATGAACTATTGAAAGTTCTTGTCTCATGCCATCAAAATTTTCCTTAATTCAGTTAAGAATTGGGCAAGGATTCAGATTTTTGGATCATTGGGATCTCGTCTGGGGTAGAAAAGAGCTGTCTGAAAGGGAAGGGTTTCACCTGAACTGGAATGTGACCAATATCCTGGTGAGGAGATTTGCTATCAGGAGCCTTTAAACTAGTAGGGAAGGTAGCATGGGATCCTAAGTATTAGTGTTTCAAAGTTGGGTAGAGTTTGTGGATTAGAAGGCAGGATGTTAGAATTTGGGGTTTGTAAAATATTGGTGTTTGTAAAATGATAGAGGGAAAGCAGTGCATGGTCCCTTTAAAAGATGATGTACTTTTTCGATGCTTAGTAATTCAGAAAGGATGTCATTCGGCAGTAGCTTGTAGGTTTGCAGGTGCACAGAGCACCTGAATTGAAACATTTGTATCAAAAGGCTATATAGTCAGCAGGCCAATCAGCTGTTTTGTTTTGTTATCAAAGCAACAAGTTTTGAATTTAGCCAATTAATTTGAACCAGGCACCTGGATACCAAAAAGCAATTAAATTTAAATCTGATGGTTTTGACAACATAGGACCAATCCTATTGTAAGGAATATTGATATGTCATCAAGGGTATAAAAGAAGGAGCAGTTGGGAAAAGACAGAAGAGCAAACTGCAATCTGCAAGTGTTAACAACTCTCAGCTCTCAATAGAGAATCACTACCTCTCAGAGTCTTCTCTAAGTTTTAGTGAAAGCACCACCTGAATCAAAGATACCTAAAGCACAACTAATTAATATTCCTGATAGAAGAATTTGATGGAGAAAGCGTTCCTAGCGGAACATTTGATGGATAAGGCTCGGAACATTTCAGAAGACACGTAACCTGGCTACAATTCTGAGACACTAAATTTTATTTTTATTATTTTTTTCTACAAGTGGGACTTGCATTTATTGGAACAGCTTCCATTAGAATCTTGTTTAACTTGGGAATAGTTAGTAGTTAGAAGGGGTTTATTCAGTTTGTTAATAATTTAGTTAATTTGTTCACTGTTAGAGTTAGATGAATGAATTGTTACTTGATGATTGTAAGTGAGTGTCAGGGGTTTATTTTACTTAACCACTAGAAGTTGCTGAAAAATGGATTACACCCTTTCTCATGTTCCTTTTAACAGATTTTAGGGCGAGGCACTCTTCTCGGAGTGTTTCAGTTTTAGTTATTGGATGGGAGGGGGTCAACCTCTGCTTTATAACAGTAGTGAGAATAGAAAGATGGATGAGGATGGTTCTGAATTAAAAAAGAGCAAGTTAATAGAAAAGGCAGGCTAGAGCAAATCAGAGAACAAGCTAAGTTTGATGAATTAAACTGCATTTGTTTCAATGCAAGGGGTTTTACAGGTGAGGCAGATGAACTCAAGGCATGTATGGTAACAATTTGTCTGGTTTCAGTTCTTTTGTTCGAATACATAGCAGTCTGATACCACTGAATGGCTTGCTAGGCCATTTCAATGAAAAGTCATCTAAAATTTAGATTAAATAACTTAAGACAGGAGAAGTTTTGATGGATCATAAATGCTGATACTGGCTGGTTGAGCTGAATGACCTATTTCTGTGTGTTCTATGTAAGCATTAATACTTTTATGAAATAATAAAAACAATTACACTTGCTGTTGCTTTCAGCTAATTGACTTACGTGAAATGCATATCGATGAAGTGTTATACGAAATAGCCCAAAAGATTATGATCAACTTGCCAGAAGATCATACCTTAACCTTGGAAAACATGGTTGCATACAATGAGGTAACATTGTTTTGTAGATTTTATTTGGAATTTATAGTTTTGAGTCAAATTAGTGACCCTTGAGACATGTTCAGTTTAATCAAAGTCAGCCAATGAAGATTTGTTAAAAGCAGTAAAAGCTGAAAATGGTGGAAATGCTTAGCAGATCTTTGAGCAACTGTGTAGGAGAGACAGAGTTACCATTTCACATTGATCTTTCGTCAGAACAGTATAGTACTACATGGCTTATATATAGGATTTTGTATGGAAACTTACTGCCTATTCTAAATCCTCTCACTGTGTAGCCAATGTATACTTAAATGAAAATTCCCCTCCCAAGTTCCAATTTATGGTCATCTATCTTCATGATAGTATTATCTATGCTAAATATCATAGTCCATATGTTTAGTTACACAGCTTTTTAGCTTTATGAAGTGAATTTTAAATTTAAGTACAGTGTGAAGAAAGCCCTACTAAATAAATAGAGCCAGGTGAAACACATACACTTAAAAAGAATTACAATTTGTTCCAACCCTGATGGGAGGAGTGCATTGGGAAGCAAGCCCCACTGATCCACCAGTCACACCTTTAGTATAACTGTGCTATTCAATCACCAAAAATGCCATTGATTGTTTTCCGTACTACTATCCAGAATAAAAGAGACTTTTACCAGGATTCATTAATGAACTCTAAATCATCTATTCATCGCAACACAAGTTTCAAACATCGGCTGGCATCTGGAATTAGAACTTATCCTTTAATCTCAAAGACAGACACATACAACACAAAAAGACAAGTTTCTGCAAGGATGATGGGATTAAAAAATTACAAATGGGAAAGCTCGCCTATTGCGCCAGAGTCTCAAAAGAAAGAATAGAATTCAATAATTTCTTGTAGCCTATCAGCTTTCTTGTCAAAGAAGTTGAATTGTTGACAGTGTGGACACTTGGAAGATCTTCAGGCTGGATGTAGATCAAACTGGATCCGAGTTCTTAGAAAATTGGCCAAAGTTCAGCTTTTCTGAGTTTCTAAGGTAGTCAGAGATGCTGATATTTGGAAACTTTTATCAGATCCAAGAGCTTCTACTGACAGAGAGACAGAGGGAGAAAGGGAGAGAGAGAGAGGATCGCAAGGCAACCATTAAACATACAGACTCCCTCCCATAGTCTTTTCAATAATTAAGAGCATCTCCTTGAAAGCTTTGTTTGTCTTTTCTCCAAAGTCACTTGACTTTCTGTAGACAGCTAACATACCATAGCAGGCATTAAACTGCTGACTCAATTTCCAAGAATTAAGATGGTAAGCTCTTTTCCAGTCATCATTACAACATTGAAAAGACACCTGTATGGGTATATGAACAGGAAAGGTTCACAGACATGGGCCAAATGCTGGCAAATGGGAGTAAATTTATTTAGGATATCTGCTTGGCATGGACAAGTTGCACTGAAGGGTGTATTTCCATGCTGTACAGCTCTATGACTCTATGACTGTAAGTAAATGTCCATCCTGTTCCATGTCTTTCAGTTTTTTACAAAGTCCATAATTAAAATTGTGTATTCTCAAAAAATTTAGAAGGTAACTTGCGTTTATTGGGTAAAGTTAAAGTAAGGGATATGATAAAAGGTGAATAATTTATATATATTAATGTCACTTCTGGAATTTGGATTTCAAAATAGAGCTGGATGCGTGTTGGTTACACTTGTGAAGGAATTTATTTAAAAGATAAGGTCAGATAATTCTTTCAGAACAGCGACTTGAATCCAATATTCATCAGAAAATAGTTGACTGTAGACCCTCTGCAGTATTAATGAAAAGGTCAAACATTTGAATTCAGAACAGGAACCCAAAACAGGGATAAACATGAAAAGCCATTAGCTTTGCCTTTAGCCCAGAAGAATCTAGCATTGAACATTTGTTTATTCATTCAGTTCAGAAACAACCAGTTTAATTCAGAAGGCAAGTTTAGTTTCTCTCCTGGAAGGCATTCAGGACAGTTCAGGTAACCTGTCGCTTCAGCAGAAGGGTTTAGTTTGTGAAACTTCGAACTGGGCAAGTTTAGTAAAAATGCAACAGGTTTTCCACATACATAGGCTGTCAGACTTGTAATAATTTCATACTAGCAGACTTGTAAAGGGCTCATTGAATTGTATTCACAGTCCATGGCAAAGAAGCTGTAAGAAGATAGTTAAGTAGAAACTTCAAGAAAGGCTTGAGTCTTTGTAATGAATTGTGTCAGGAAACAGATTGAAAATGGTTTTGCTGCATGGATGTTATTCTAATTGTTTTCAATATTAGATACTTTGGTTTGTTCTTTTTCTTCTTTTGTCAAATAAAATTTCTTTTGTTGTTAAGGAAAATCTCTGATCGTTATTTTTCAATGACTAGTTGCTACATTCACAACTTACAATTTTACTCCACCCTATCTGACATTAACAACTGTAAAAAGGTGCCATGGGGGTGTGGGGAAGTGTTGGATGGGGAGGAGGAGTAGACCGGTGTGTCCAAAAGGAATAGGCCCTGAGGAATGCTGACAGGCCCGAAACGTCAGCTTTCCTGCTCCTCCGATGCTGCTAGGCCTGCTGTGTTCATCCAGCTCTACATCTTGTTATGAAGGGAAAGAAGTATGTGTGTTATGGTGGAATCCTGCTGGAGGTGGTGGAAATGGTGTCTTATTATCCTTTGATTATATATCAACAAATAATAAGAGCATGAAAAAAATAACAAAAATTATAGGTGATTTCATTTTTCATATCGATTGGATAAATCAAATTGGAAAGGGTAGCTATGACAACAAATTCAGAGTGCTTTAGGGATTGTTTCTGAGTACAATATGTCATGGACCCAATCAGGGAATGGGCTATCCCACACCTGGTAATGGGTAAAGTGATAGATTTAATAAATGACCTCAGAGTAAATGATCCCTTGGAAGTAGTGATCATAACATGATAGAATTTAATATTCAGTTCAAGAACAGGTTGGAAACAGGGCAATGGCCTAGTGGCATTATCACTTGGCTGTTAATTTAGAGACCTAGGTAATGTTTTGGGGACCTGGGTTCAAATCACACCACAACAGATGGTGCAATTTAAATTTAATAAAAATCTGGAATTAAGAGGTCTAACGATGACTACGAATCTATTGGTGATTGTTGGAAAAACCCATCTGGATCAATGATGTTCTTCAGGGAAGGAAATACCATCCTCACCTTGTTGGCCTACATGTCACTCCAGACCCACAGCAATGTGGTTGATTCTTAACTGCCCCTCTGGGTAATTACGGATGGGGACAATGAATGCTGACCTACCCAGAAATGCCCTCGTGTTAAACCATTTGTATCTCTATCACGTTGCCTTTCCATCTATGTTTGTGTTGTTTGCAAATTTGGCTACAACACATTCACTTCCTCTCTTCTGTGTTTAACTTAAATAAAGGGAATTACAATGAAATGAGGGCAGAGTTAGCTAAAGTTGTGTGAGTGAATAGATTAGCAGGAAAGGCAATAAACAAGCATTGCAGATATTTAAGGTGATAATTCATGATGCTCTCAACAAAAATGTATCCCATTAAGGAGGAAAGATTCTAAGAGAGGGATATACAATCAATAGCTAACCAAGGATGTTAAGGAGAGTATTAAGTTGAAAGCAAAAGCATATAAGAAGGACAAAATTAGTGATTGCCCTGAAGACAGGGATAAATTTAGAGTCCAGCAAAGGAGGATTAAAAAGTTAAGAAAAGAGAAAACGAAATGAGGGCGAACATGAGGAACATAAAAACTGACAATAAGATTTTCTTTAAAAACATTCAAAAAATGAGAGAGCAAAAAACAGGTCTCATAGAAAACAAAAATGAGGAGATAATTATGGGGAACAAGGGAATAGTAGAGGAATTAAACAGATATTTTGCATCAGTCTTTGTGGTGGAAGATAGTTTGAACATTCCATTAATACTAAAGAATACAAGGCAATAATTAAATACCATCACTAGAGAAATAATATTAGACAAACTATTGGGGCTAAAGGCAGGTAAGTCCCCTGGCCCTGATGGTTTGCATCCAAGGATCCAGAAGGAAGTAATTACAGAGATAGTGGATGTATTGTTATAATTGGATTCTGGAGAAGTAGCAGAGGATTGGAAAACTGCCAATGTGACACCTCTATTTGAAAAAGGAGGGAGGCATAAAGTGGGCCAATATGCTGGGATATTAAGCCAATTAAACTAATATCTATTTTTTTGAAAATGTATTGGAATCAATTATTAATAGTGGCAGAACATCTGGAAATTCATAATCCAATCAAGCAGAGATAGCATGGCTTCATGAAAGAGAAATCGTGTCTGACTAATTTCTTAGAGTTTTTTGAGGAAGTCTCAACCAGACTGTAGGGAGGGCAACTAGTGGATGTGTTGTATCTGGACTTCCAGAAATTGTTGACAAGGTGCCTCACAAAAGGTTAAGTAATACGATAAGAGGTGATATTGTTGGAGTTAATGCATTGGTGTGGATAGAGAATTGGCTGCTGGGCAGAACCTTCTTCAGATTGGCAACCTGTAACCAGTGGGGTTCCACAGGGATCAGTGCTGAGACCGCAACTATTTCCAATATATATTAATGACTTGAAGGAAGGAAGTGGATGTGCTGTAGCCAGATTTGCAGACGACACAGACATAGATGGAAAGGCAACGTGAGAGGGATACAAATGGTTTACAGAGAGATATTGATAGGTTACGTAAGTGGGCAAAAAGTTAGCAAATGGAGTGTAACATAGGAAAATGTGAAGTATTTCATTTTGGAAGGTAGAACAGAAAAACAGTATTATTTAAATTGAGAAAAACTGCAGAAAGCTGCAATACAACAGAACTTGGGGTACTTGTGCATGAAACACAGAAAGCTAGCACATGGGTGCAGCAGGTAATCAGAAAGACTGATTAAGATTATTTACTTGAGTCCAGTGAACTAATTAATTAATTAATTAATTGATTAAGACTGATTAAGTTTGACTAACAAGAATGTTGGCTTTTCCAGG